CGGTTTCTTCAATTCTGTAGTTTAGACTTCCATTCACCTTGGTTTCTATCATTCCTGAGTGATGGTTCTTCTATATTTTAGTTGTAGTTTTGATGTGGTTGTGCAAAGAGATAAGCCATGTCTGCCAGTGGTGCCATCTTGTCCAGAGTCAGTTTTACATTCTTACTTAGGTTTTATCGGGAGAAAATGTAATGTATTTCACTATCTCCAGTGCGTGTGTTTGTTTGTTTTTTTGAGATGCCGCATCAAAAAACTCTGAAGATAGGAATGTCTGAGGAGGGTAGGGAGTGAATTGTAGCTCCTTGATTTTGTTGTCGAAAATCACCTCTGGAACAGTGAGCTGGAAAAGTTGGATGCTGCAGAGGTAAACATCATGCAGATTAAGATAGAGTGGAATTCGATAGAGTAGTTAAAAAAGGATGATGCATTTGTAATTAGCCCACAGTGCCTTTAGTTGGAAATTAATTAGATATTGTTATGTAAATGTTATGTTAATTAAGCAAGAATATTGAAGTGTTATAAATCTGCAAAAGGAATGGCTGTTTTTGTATTAATGTTTGCACTTACCATGAAAAAGCTGATAGAATATTTGTTTGATTATTGAGCTTCTGGAAATTTTTAGCTAACCCACTCTTTGACAGTCCATTTATCTTAATTGAAGTGTTTTAGCACATGTGTAACTGCAGCCAGTGAGGGCTAGTGGAACCTGGAGCCAAAAATGACCAGTCATCATAGCTGTTTTAACAAAAGCTTTTTGGGTAAATATTGATCTCTGTTTTCAAGGTTAAGGAGAAATACTATTTTTCTGCATTTATTCAGTCTTAAATTTTGAGTGCCTAAAATGATTGCCAGCCTAAATGCAGCTGCCCTCCAAACCTGTGTTCTCTACTTCCTCCTGAGTCATAGTCTTCATCCAGTCTATGAAGTGGAGTACACATCGGGGGTAGCTCAGGGCTTTTTGGCATGCTCAGTAACTCTACAGCTGAAAAAGAAAATTTAAGAATTCTGCTACTTTAGCTTGAAATGTAACTCTTGATAGTTAATGGGATACCTTTATTCAGGCCTTCTGGTTTTACAGATTACAATGAAATTCGTATGTAGATTTGATCCGTCATCAGCTTTACAGGCCTGAAAATAAGTACTGTTTTCTCAGGAAAATCCACTACCATCTTGCAAATGTTATAAAGATTTCTAGTTGTTGAGAATGCAGCTAAAGAATTTCATTTCATGGCTCTCTTGTGGACTTGCGGATGTGATCCATAGTGCTGCATTATGTATGACACCTTTAATACAAGAGTCGAAACGTTCCTTAGAAGAACATAGAGTTAATATTCAAACTTTTGGTCACAAAAACTGCAAGCTACCACAGACATCATTTACTTGCAAATTCCAAACTCTAAATTGTTGAAATTTAGGAAAAAGTCCTCCGAATGTAGTGTCAAATGCCAAGTCATAGTCTGTTATTAAATATCTTCAGATAATGAAGAAACTTGAAAACAGATATTTAATTTGTTTTAGCTAAAGAAAGCAAGTAGCACTCAGGTGATTGGTTGAAAGTTAGTTTGTGTTGGTTAATCTTGTTTCCTGGTTCATAATCCACAGAGAGACTGTTAGATTAAGGAAGGAACTTTAAACTTTAAAAAAATTGTTTAAAAATCTGAAACTTACCATTTGAAAACTCACTTGCCACTAACATAGGCTAGAAGGTAATGATGAGAATCATGATGTGCTTAGAAATACATTTATTTTTCCAACTGGATCCCATTGAACACACACACAGAGACACACACTGTTCACCAATAGAGCCCAGTAATCAAGAGACTTTCTCATCTTTCTCTTAGCTCTGTTCACCCTGCTGCTTGGGAAGAAGAGGAAGTAAGGCCAAAAGTCACAGACTTTACAGTGATTTATGGGACCATATACCAGGCCCTCTCAGACATTAGCCCAGTTAAAAAAAAAAAAAAAGCCAGCTGCATTTCTTGATGGAGCAGATGCCCTGACTTTGACCCTTACTATCAACTCAACTCTCAAAAGTATTTTGTTTGCTATAACCATATGGGGCTCATGGTATATTTTTTTATTATAGGCAAAAACCTGAAAAGGTTCCCCTAGCATGGCCCGTAATTTCTTGTATTTATTTTAACAGAGTTGATTTGGAAATAATTGTGTAAGAGTAGGTATCATAATCTCCTGTGGCTTTTTTTTTTTTTGACAGTACAAGAATTTTGTATTTTTAAAGAGTTTCATTGGTTATAGTCTGCCAGACCAAACTGAATCCCAAGCTCTCTGTTTATAATACTGTGCAATTATCAAAGCTGGGATATATTATTACTGCCCGTTATTCTTGCTGTCAGTTTGTTTTGGCTCGACTATGGTTCTATGTATACTTTACTGTAATGTAGCGAATATGTTGGATTGTGTTGTTAGTTTAACAAGCTCTCTGGAGACCAGTTTCATCATAATGCATGTTGAGACATGGTAGGTGGCTTTAAAGTTATTTGCGTATTTGCCAAACTTACAGAAATTCATTCATTAGGAGGTTTAGAAAGAATAAACTCTCAACCTACAGATGAAGTAAAGTTTACATTTATAAATACAAGAGTGTTAATTCATGAATCCCAGGCAGATTTCTTTAGGGGGTTCTGATTTGACCAATTTCTCCCCTCTTATAATTTTACTAGATTAATTATTTTATGATTTTTTTAAAAGGTGTCCTGGCGGTTAATCCATTATTGACTCTTGTGCTCTATGTAGTTCACTGTATTGTGGAAACTCAGTGATCTTGGCCAGATAATTGAGCTGGGAGTTGAAGTTGTTATCAGAGACCGAAACTAACTGGCCTGTTAATATTTACATTGTGCTCAGCTGGTTTAAAAATGTACACTAATATCTTTCTTTGTCTGCCCCAGCCTATCGTGTCAAAATTTCCAGAGTCAGGGTCTGGGAATCTGTATTTTAAAAATGTTCCCTTGAACTTTCTGGATTCCGAAAAATGCTGTAATATTTTTATGTGATAGTACAGAAGTGTATATATGTTTAAACTCCTCAGGATGTACATTTAATATTTTTACACTACATTTTTGTATTTTATTCGTCTTTTATACTTCAATTAAAAATTTTTTAATAAATGTACATTAGTCTCTTGATTAAATTAAGCAGTTTGCAGTGGTCTTATCGAATACTATGAAGTGCCCTCTCTCTACAGAGTCATAACCCAAGAGTAGATGACAAATTGGGACTTGGCCTTAGGGGTCATAAAATTTGGTGAAAGAGAAAGTGGTGATACATAGTATGAAATGGCATAGTTTATGAAGTCTTTTTGTACAGGTGATTCTCATCAGCACTATGGTTCACGGGCATTTTTTCTATCCCCATTGTTTGGTAAAGAAACTGAAGTGTTCCAGGACTTGAACTGAGAGAGAAAACTGTACTTGAACAACAATTAAAATAAATAAATTTTAAAAAGCCCTGAGTCTTATATAAAAGCCTGTTATTTTCCCAGAAATAAGAACACTAACAAATAAAAAACAAACCCTCATAGCATATTTATGGAGCTATCAAAGGTAGAGAGCCCAGAAGAGAGTTCTCAAGGATGTGGGGTCTATGTTACGTTTTCCTGCAGCTCATTGTCTCTCCATGTTGCTTATTTTAATGTCACAATTGCCCGTTTGGATCCCTAGAATTTTAGTATGTTAAGCTTTCTCTGGGGAATGTGGTATTTGTAGAAAAAGGCCCTGCTCTTTTGGTGTAACTTTTGGTTCTTGCCTCATTTTCAAATTCTTGAGAAGCATTTTCAGTTCATACTAGCCAGTGGTGAATATTCTTCATAATTACATTTAGCATTCGTTGCTTGTTCCATATTCTTTGACACTTGATCATTTTTTGATCCAGCTCTTTACTGGTTGCATGTATTGTTCTTTATTTATTTATACAAATGTTGTCCTCATAACAAGATTATAAGCTCCCTGAGCATGAAACTAACCCAGGGTAGCACACAGTAGGTGTTTGCTAAGTGCCTTTTGACATTAACAATACACTTACTTAGTCTTTCTTCCCCTTTTCCATTTCTCCTCTGTGTCTTCTTACACCCACCAAAATTTGCTGCTGTTATGATAATGCATAACAATCTTTCCTTGATATAGGAAAGATTGGGCTAACAGTTAACTCTTAAGTGGGGTTTCCAGGTCCCTAAACCCATGGATCTTGGTGGCATAAACTCTAGGAACATCTTAGAGCTCTTTCATCTTTCTTTCCTTATCAATGAATAACTTCAGTGATGTGAAGTCTTCTCATAAGTGACATACAATTCTGTCAGTTAACCACATTTACCTTTGCTAGTCATAGTCACCTGTGGAGCCTTTTCAAAATATATGTGTAACATTTGCCTGTGTGTTCTATTCCTTTATGATCACTATTGCCTCTCTTAGGGCGTATCAAGAGCCACTGGTCTTTATGTTTATATAATAACTTCCTATTTCAGAAGATAGGCATGGTTGGTGTGGAATGTTGCAGTACATATCAATATCAATTTAAGAATCTGTTGGTAGTCTTAAAATTATTGCTTTTCAAGCCTTTACCCACCAACTGACTATATAATCCATATATCTATCTTTGTGTGTGTGTGTGTGTGTGTGTATACACATACCTTTTGCATACTCTTGAACTATACCTGTCTATCAGATCTCTGGGCCCTCAAAGATTCCATGCAGGCCCTCTTCATAGCCTATTCTTATAATTAAACTAGAAATTCCTTTTTGGTCAGCACTTTTTTTTTTTTTAATGAAAAGCATGTTCTAATGTAGAAAGAATACAGATCTAAATTGTCTAATTAAGGTTAACCTACCACAGCTACCACCTTCCCTATTCTTTCTACTACCTGACTCTCCTTTGCATATTTGCCTGTCGATCCATGCATTTTTAGGCTTTTCTTTATCCAAGATAGCAGGTATGGGCATGGAGTGGATATGACCTGACTCATGTGCCTGCCTTTCTGTTTCTAGGTGGGCCATGCACAGATACAGCTCATGTCTCATTAATCACACCTACCAAAAGATCTTCTGGTACAGGTACGTACAGCATTCTCTTATCTGGATTCATTCTTACCTGAATCCTTCACAGAAATTAGCTACTGTTTTTAATGTGGTATTCTTGCCAGGGTGCTCTTTAATTTCTTTCATCAGTTTTGAAGTGATGTATTATGTGCTTAATATTGGGCGTGGCATGTGAGCTGAAGTCAAAGTAATGCTCTTGGAGGTCAGGTTGACTGAGTTAATGCTGGCAGCTAGAGCCAAGAAGATGGACAGTTTACCTACTTCCTAATGTCTGAAGAATATTAAGATATGAAACATACATTGTCCTGTTTCCAGCATGTGGCTACTTCATCTACATATTAGACATACTAAAATACATTTTTTAAATAATGGAGACTATAGAGAGAAATCAGTGTTGATACAGAAAATCTGTGTTTTAACCTGACTGTTACAATATCCTAATAGTTTGGGGAAATTATTTTCTCTCTTTCATCTTCAAGCCAGAGGATATGCTAAAATCATCCTTTTCAGATACATAAAGTCCTCCAGAAATCTTTGTGCATCTGTGACATTTTTATTAAATATGAAGCCATGAATCTTGTAGCTCTCTAAAAAGCAGTCATAATGGCCATTTCTCTCTTAGCCTATAGCTTAATATATTTTTAAACAATATTTGCCTTTTCCAATAATGTGGCCTGCTATTTAAAATATCTCAAGGATTATATTTGGAAGAATAAAAATAATTATATTGTTTCTTGAAAGGTCACATTTAAAGTATTTTTCATAACTTAAAAAGTCCTTTTTAACTTTTAAGGAAAAATAGCACAAACTATTTCTGTGTTCAAACTTACGCTGAAATCTCAGCCCCTTTAAATGCTTATAGTTTTGATGTTAAACCTCAAACAGGCTTGTCCTTGAGCAGTTTATAAGTAACATCCAAGTATTGAACTCTGAGGAACTTAATTTTACTTTTCTGTTCCAAATGACCAGTTTTGATACAGGGCTGTGTGAGATGGTCCTGGCGTGCTCTCATCCCTCCTGTCCTCAGTATTCAAGTTCCCCTGGGTAGTTACTAATGGAGATGGAAGAGAACTGTGCCCTGGAGTGAGACAGACCTGCCTGATTAGCCAGTGAAAGTCACAGCCAGCTTCCTACCCACTCCAGCCAGAAGTTTGAAAACATTCAGAGCCCTTTGATTTCAGGTCCAGCATTTCACATACACAGTGTACTTTAATCTTTCTTCTTTCCTTCCCGCCGTATCCCTCAGGGCAGGGTTTATTGTTAATACTGGCTACCTATACAGGTAGCAGTCAGGGAATGAGCCTCAAGCACATTGGGTCATCCTGAGAGATTTAGGAAAGAGGCTCGTGTGCTCAGCTTAAATACTGAAACTAGTAGGAATTCTTATTCTTTGCATATCATGTACTTGTGTCCTTCATCTTGTAGGCAGATCTGTTTTCTTCTCTTTCCTCCAACAATATTTTTGTGTATCTGAAAATAATAACATACATTGCATGCTAACTGTATTACCAGGCACCATTCAGTATGCTTTACATGCAGTCTACAGAACAATTCTACAAGAGAGTTATTCCTCTTCTTACAGATGATAAAAGTAGGTACTCAGAAAATTAAGTACATTTCCTGGGGCAATAGTGCTAGTAAGTAATAGAACCAGGACTTAAACACAGATCTTTCAGATGTTAAAGCCTATGTTGTTTTGCAGTACATCATGTTACTGCTTATCATATTTTATTATACTCCTAGCCAGACAGTGGAAAAGCATATCATTGAATGAAATATGGAGAAAGAGAAACACGGATTTGGAAATATAGCATGTAATGAAGTAGTTTTAAAAACAGTAGTTCTAAAAGAGATCTGATTTCAGAGCCCTAGCCTTGCCTCTTACAAAATATGATTTTTGAACACATAAGTTAACATCTCAAAACTTATTTTTCATCTTTGTAAACAGGTGATAGATCTGTCTCATAGGTTTGATGTAAGAAATAATATACATAAAGCTCACATAGTACAATTTAATGGTAATCACTATTATAGTATAATCTTATCATTAAAGATTATATGTACAATGGCCAACCGTTAAATGCTGTGGGTAACAACATCAGTAGGTAATTTAGTTGGAAAGAAGAAAAGATGAGAAGTACCAAAATTCATTGCCATGTCTAGTTTAATTAATTGATTTTATATGTTGGTCACATTCTTTGTTGAATTTCAGTACGGTAGTAGGAGTGATGGTAATATTTTTAGATCTTCACAGAATGAAATATAAGCCAGGAATGAAGGTCTCAGTCACACATTTTCAGGCATTCTTTTAGGTGACTGCATACTTCTTAACTAGGAAAAGATTAAGAATTTCTGGCTTGGAAGAAAATTAATACAATGTGCAGGACATCTTCTAAAAAGCCTGAAGGAAAGTTGAGATTTCTCAGCTTGGATATTAAAGGCCATCAAGTTCAGCCTGTTGCACTTTTCAAGAAGCCTATCTATGCCCCCTCAGGTGTCTTAAACTAGTCTTACTGCCTCAGCCTTAAATGATGGCCCTGACACTGGAGGATAGAGGTTTCTGATTGATAAAGGTAAACTGAATGATTTGCTTTGAGAACTACACGTTTACTCTCTTTGTCTCCATCTTTCTGCATGTCTGGGAATCAGCAGGTTGCCCATGGTGGGGGTTCTGAGCATTTTTCTTAGGATCATCATCGGTTATAGTGCTACATTGCTGGAGTGTTCTTGTATTCTTATGTCTAGGTTCTTCAAGAGAGGACTCATGCTTCTAACACGTGCTCTGTGGTGCTTGTACCATGAGGGGCACAGTAACAATAGCTCTCCCAAAGATTTAGAGTAGAAGGCTTCAAGCATAGAGGTCCATAAATAATTACCTTAGAGTGGTATCATTTATTCCATGGAGTGAGACCCTCTAAATTAGATCTCACCAACCTGCTCCAAGCCAATCTGTTCCATACAAGGTTGGACCTAAAGCAACCTCCAGCATAGTAATAATGTGTGTTAGGAAAAGGGTACTTAGGCTAGAATATACTTAGTGGTTCTTTAAGTCACCACTAAGTGACTTACTGTATGTGAGATGTGGGGAGGAAGTAGTAAAAGTTCTTTATCTCAGACTTTCAAAGCTTCTATTTTTCAGATTTATTTTATTATTATATATTAGGCCATATTTATACTTTAAACCCATCAAATACATATATAAATGTATACATATTAAAGGTACATAGCCAGATAGCTTATTAGGTGGGAGTGTACTCTCAAAAAATGGTTAGTGACCTTTTCAGTACACAGGTCATTTTCTTTTTAGTAAATTAGTGTTAGGTCCATAATTATAAGCCTGAGTGGCTGATTAACATTTCTTTGTTTCAAGGGACTACTGTTGAATAGAGTGTATTGTAATTTAGACAGGTGGAAAGCAGTGTAGAGTGGCTGGTCTACAACTATCAAAGTGTAAGAGGGAACTCTTTAAAAATTGTTTTGTGTTAACTGTAAGTGTAAGAACTCTAAGAGGTAGGTTACAAAAAGCAGTAGTAGCAAATGAAAGATCAGTTTATATTTGTGAACTAGGTGAGAAAGGCTTTTCTTTAGTTGTTGGCTTTTGGCCACATAGCACTATTGACAGTTAAACTCTGTAATCTTTAGATGGAATAAAACAGCTGCACCATGCTCATTTTGGTATTTAAAGCAGAGAAAAATTCAGTGACAGTGTGTGTGGCTTCATAGAGCTCTGGGATATCTACAGTCAGCAAAGAGCTGAAAAATGGTGACAAGTCCCAGGTTGCTTTGATTAGAATGTGAGAGTTTAAAGCATATCACACCTTCAGATTACTAGAGAGAGCTTCCATTTCTTCAAAGAGGTTTGAATGTTTTGCACATGTTCCCTTGTTAATTCTCAACATTCTTGCCAAGAATGAGTATATTGTGAAGGAAGAGAGTTTACTTTCCTTGGCAACCAACGAACCACCTTTTGTCCTTCCTCTTTTCTAATTATCAAGTTATACTGTAAGCCAAAGTGTTGTAATCTGAGCCATGGTTCTACTTTTCAGGCAACTTTATTTGGATATTTAGATGAATATATTCAGGAAGTTATATTTTTTTGTTTAAAGTGCCTTGTGGGAAAAGAGGGAGACCGGTTACCCTTTCTTAGAACTTGTTATTTAAAGACATATATAACTTTTTGATAAGACTTATTTGTAGAGAGTTACAGCAGAAGTTACTTCGTTTTTTATTTATTGGAGCTTGCTATTGGTGAACTTTAAAATTTAAGCTGTAATGGACAGCCCGACCATGTCTTGTCCCAAATTTCTGTGGAGAAATCATTTCTGTGCAGCAGGATCCTTGAACTGTGACTGACCCGAGGACTCAGCTTCCTCTAATGGAGCATTGACCAGCTAACTCTTAGCACTAGGGCCTGGGTTGGATATATGGAGGGATGGACTTTTTAGCATATGAAGAAAGGAAATTCATCCTTCCCTGTTTTACCACTTTGTGGCTTTTTTTTTCATTTTGTAGTCCTTTTATTTCTGAAGTTAAAATAAAAAAGTCATAAACAAGCTTACAGACTTGATGGTACTGTCTACACACTTTTGCTCCACTATATCTCTCTCTATTCACTGTACTCTTCTTTCAGCAAATAATGCTGAGTAAATAATATTCTCTTTGATAGAATTGAAAAATGATGGTTTTAAAATGCTCTGTGTATGTTAAAAATGTGATTATAGTTAATAGGCTCTCAAGTAAAATAACCATTTGTGGGACCATAGGGGGCTGTAGTATTGCCTGGAATGAAAGAGGTGGGAGTAGAAACTCCCATTAAACACCAAGTTTTTCTGGAAAGTATCATCTTTCCACTGTATAAGAAGCATGTTAATTCAGTTTATATACCCTTTGTCTGCTTTGTCTTGCCTTGCCTTTCCCCTTTCCCCTTTCTTTTCCTTTTCTCCTCCCTTCCCCTTCCCCTAGCACACGATTATCCTTTTAGGTCACCTATTTTGCTCTCTGCGTGAAGAACAGTG